TCAGACTCAATGACATTGTTTGGAGTATAATTTGATACCGCCATTCGAATACAATTATCCCTATGTTCATTTGTAAGTCGATTACGGTATTTGTTTTTAATAAACTTCACATTTGAAAAAGAAAATTCACACAAATAGGTTGAACAAAATAACGCTTTCATTTTCAAGGCGACACGAAATAAAACTGAATATTTATCTTTACTTACTGACTTACTGAAGGCCAGATACATTTTGTATTTGAGACTAATGATTTTAAAGCTAAATCATTTTGAAACAGAAGTGGCAAACTGTTTGATATCAATTTCCATGAAGGGTGAAACAAATTTCGCCATAGCAGTTTCGATGAAATCCTCGAAACAATTTTTGAGGTTATCCTTCAAGTTACAGACTATTTCTACAAGATATTTTCTGTCATATGGTTCTAATGGACTTATCTTTTCTGAAATAACAGGAAAATGCCTGGTATCGCTATCGATAAAGTATTGTTAAGGAATCTCAAGCTTTTTGATAAACGATTTTATATCAGAAATCATTTCTGCTAGTTTTTGTCTCTTCACTGAAGCTGCAAATTAAGTTCATTTAATTTTTATGTAATATCCACAAGAAAACCAAAATCTCTTGCCAGATTGAATTTTCCAGTTCCGGAATCGGTTCATCACGTTGTTTGAAAAATTGAACTATGGCAGATAGGATTTCATTAAAACGTTTCAGCACTCATCCCCTACACAACCATGGGACTTCAAAGTGAAGAAGTAGTTCCCAATTTCATCGGCCAAGGTTTTGAATAATCTTTGTAACGCTTGAGCTCTAATCTTGTTCACAATTTTTACTACCAGTTTCATAACGTTGTTTAGTTTTAGAAAATGTCCACAAAATGCTTGCTGATGACAATGCAGTGGTAACAGAGAAATTGCGGAAAACTTGCATCTATACGAAATAACCACACGAGACACCATTATCACGACCCACCATAGCTGGAACGCCATCGGTTGTCAGGCCTACCATTTTCGATATTTTAATTTTCTCAGAAGAAAACTAGTCCTGCCAATAGTCTAATCTTTTAGTGGAATAAACTTGAAAAGATCTTCTTTAATCGTAAAATCACTAAAAACCATCCTGACGAACACGGCCACCTGTGAGTTGTCAACGACATATGTGGATTCATCCAGCTGCAGTGAAAAATAAGCACAGTTATCCAATTCATTTCTTAACTGTGAAACTATATCATTGCTCATTACTTCGACTCGTCTCAGCACTGTATTAGCAGAAACTTCCATAGATTTTATCCAGATACTTTCTCGTCTTTATTTCTAAAGTTGGCAAATAATGAATCTGCAGCTTCTAAAAGCACCTGTTTTATCATTTCCCCGTCTTCATAAGGTGGTTTCTTATTTTGTGTAATTATCTGGACAACCAGTATGATGCTTCAGTTGCAGCCTTACTTTTGTCGATTGTTTTTAAAACATTGTCTGTTGTCCAATTAACTGAGTTTTTAATTGTTTCAGTTTAAGTCCGTTCTGGTAATGGAACAGATTTTCCAAAATTCGAATGTACCGTTTTATAGTGCATCTGGATATTCCCTTTTTTAGCAAGGGAAATAGATGTATTACATAACAAACATACAGTTTTACCTTTAACTTTTGTAAAGAATTATTGTTCTTTCCATTCCGAATGGAAATGGTATGTCTTCATTTTCTTACTTCATAATATTTTTAGTTGCAGGCCAACCTTAACCCAACCGCTTGACTTGTGTCGTTCAGTTTTAAACTGAGGGCACTGTCGTCGCGCCTTGCGCATTTATTCCGTTCAAAGTATTTCGAGTGTTGCCGCTGCTTGTGTTTATTATGAGATTTACAAAATTTACGGAAGCTTCTATGATTTTACACCTTTTTAAAATATGTTGCGAGCCACCAGAATTGCCTTTGTGAACAACCGGTAGCTCGCGATCGACGAGTTGCGGCCACTGCTGTATACTATAACCAAAGCGTAGTTATACCAAGAGCAGACAGACAAGTGGAATAAATTAAAGAGAGATGGAGAAGAAACCACAAACATGGCGTCCGCAAAACATCTGATGACGCCTTAACTCGTGTTATTCTGTCCAAGTAGGTATATGGAATCAGTTTGGAGCAATGAAGACTTAAAACCACAACTTCGTCATTTCGTGATTTAAAATTTGACAAAATATCCTTGAGATTCATTCCTAAAAGTGAGTGAAAAAATACGTACTACCTACGTACTCAATCATCACCCTCCGCTCCCTTTCGTAATCAAGTCGGAAGATTTCAATTCGAAATTATAACTCCAACAGCCTGTATCTCGGTAAGGGGACATTTTAATTCCCATGCTCATAAGAATTTGTCGTGTTATTTTTTATCTACTGTAGAAATATTGCCTCTGTTTTCTGAATCACCCTATATTCTGTGACGCATTTCTCAAAACCACGCATGCTTTCAATTCACCAGGCATCAGCCAGTCCATGATATCACCAGGTAGCAGCCCCGCTGTGTTCGTCGCAACGTTCCTGTGGTGGTGCCCCCTACCGGGCCCCCACCGTTGCCTCCCAGGAAAAGTTCCCCTACCCACGATCCACCGCCAGCACTTCCAACCACATCAGCAGACAGCTACCTACGGAACGGCATCACAGAGGCGCAGTCAGTCTCTAATCTCAGCCAACAAGGGGCTACCACCATTGAGGTACCTCAGGTAAGTGGCTAACATTGATTAACGTACGAAGTTCATAAAGTACGGTCCTCACATTTTGCAGACTCAATTCTTTCCAGCGTCTGCACAGAAGCGATTTTCTATAAATTCCTCAAAAGCCATAATTGAAACCGTGCGTAATTGCATAAGGACAAGCATAGATTTTCTGATTGGAAAATCGCCCCCTTTTACTACCTTTACATGACATTTGGGACGCCCTGTATATTCAAAAAAGTTAACTGCCGATACTCTTTGCTATAAACAAAACATTGGTTTTATCTTCAATTTAATGGAGGTGGTATGTACAGTCTGCGAAAGTTAAAAGTTAGCCAATGTTGGTCTAAAAAACTAGCTTTAAGATAAAATTAACCTTGGAATACTCTTGGTTGTCTTATAGGGGAAGGTTTTAACTTAGATACTTGGCAACCTTTTTTTGGCAACGAGAAGCCTAAATGCCAGGGCATCGCGGCTGCTATGAGGAGCTTAAAAAATACATACTTTGTTAATCTAATTATTGAACTGCTTAAGGTTAATAGAACTGGAAAAGCCTCCTCATGTAGATTGGTCCAAAATGTCGATACCCTAGGGACAAAGGAGCGGTCTTATCGGCCAGTTCTGATGTACAAAGTTCGACATGGTTAGATGTGTGCCCGAAGTCAGACGGGTCTGTCTGGCAGGCACATCACGCGGCGGCATCATGGAGGAGAGCTCTGAGGAACAAATCCATTGGCGTAGCGGTAGAAGACAGCTAGATCGCCGACGGCCCGCCAGTGCGAAAGGGTCTCGAGACTGCCCGTTAGAGAAGATTCATCAATCAGTCGGAGAGCCCTCCTTTAAACAGTCCTCGAGCATGGATAATGTAGTTATGGCTACAGCATCCTAAACATGTGAACAATACTCAGGCAGGGTCTTATCTGGGCCTGGTACACAATCAGGAGATCATGCGGAGAAAAGTACTTCTTAGCCTTCAACAAATAGCCTAGCTTTTTCCCAGCAGCTGCCGCTATTGAGAAGATGTGTTCGTGCCTCATCAAGTCCTCGGTGCTCTGGACTCCGACCCTCCGAAATGAACCGGATGAGTGCTAGGACGCTTCTTGCTCGTCATGGACAATACTGTGTTTTGGAAGCATTAAACTGTACAAGATTATTGCGTCCCCAAGCAGTGATAACCTTCCGGACTCTCGTCAGAGAGGAAGTCGCTGCTAGTCTTCTTTTCTCCAGCTCACCGGCAGAGATCGGCTTGTCACTCTGAATTCCTGCCTGTAGAGTGCTGTCATTACTAAAGCTGTGGATTGGATTGATTGTACAGGAAAGGAGACCGTTGATATTAAAGGAACAATGTCAGAGCCAAGACCGATCCCTAGGGAACACCCGCTTTGACGTGGGATGAAGAGGAACACCCGTCAATTACGACGAATACTATATCTTGCAGTCAGACAGAAAGTCAGCCACCCATCGACAAAACTTCTCTGGTTGGCTATAGGATGGAAGTTTACATACGAGGTCAGCATGCCATAGCTGATCGAATGCTTTCATGATATCAAGAGCAACGACATGACCCTCACTATAAGTGGATGAGTCTACTCCACAATTGCGTGACGTGAGCTAGGAGGTTCCCTCAAAAATATTGACTTCTATCCGAGTTTTTAATCATTGAAGAATACCATTTTGAAGGTGTTTCAGACGTTAAATGGCTTATAGTTCGAAACTTAGTAAGGACGTTTCTTGTTCAGAATGATCCGAGAAATCAGAAACAAATGGTCGGAGCGAAACAAACTTTTTTGTAATAAAAATGAACCAAAAAAAATGGTCCGGCATGATCCGGATTATTATTCTTTGACCTCTTCTCGATCGACGTCTGTTCAGAAAGTGCGGTCCTCACATTTTGCAAACTTCCTTAGATCCAGCGCCTAGTCTATATTCCGTTTTTTGTGACTACAACCAAAACACATCTTCATTCCCAAAAATCACGTGCTTACCGGACGGATTTGAAACCCGCACTGGGCATCAAGAGGGGACCGACATACATATGTACGTGCCGTCTGCTTGTCGTGTTGCCAGCATTAGTTTTCTGTCACACATCTTATATTAACCATGTATTAACGAATTATTAAAGACATAATAATTATTACATTTTTAGGTACCAAAAAGCAGTTCCATGTTGAACGTGAGCAACAACCCAGACTTCTGCGAAGATTTCACGGTAGAAAACGAAGTGATCGAGCTGAGCTCTCCCGAGACTATCTATGGCGTGGTGATCCAGAATTGCGACTATTACGACAGGAATACTATAGAAACGAAGCTCCCTAATAGACACCTCAGCTGCCCTTCAAAAAGGTCAGCGCAAAATACTCCGAAACCCGTCAAGTCCAGCACGACTCCGAATATCAGTCAGTCTAATACTATGACGTCATACGAAAATATCGAAGTGGAAACTTCACAGGATTGTTCAAAAAGGTATGATGCGTGTATTCAATTCCAAGTTTTACCGTTTCCCCAGATTATTATTCTTTGGTCTATTTTATTAACTAATGCGTAGGACGTGGCAAAGCCTCTTAAAAAAACGAATTCACTTGGATCAACAGTTAATGCCCGGCTGCATCGCTTTGCTAAGATCAACTTTAAGCTAAGTTGAACTTTAAGTTCCATATTTTTTTCAACAGATATACTTAAAATTTGAGTGGAACTAGAACAGGACAATTTAACCAAGTCGCAGAATTTATCTTAAAGGTGGATTTTATATCCTTGCCAGTTTGTCATTCAAGTGATTTGACCTACTGACCGCTGTCTGTCAAGTTGTTGGTAAATTAAAAACTTCGAATGAGGAAAGTTCTTCATATTTCTTCAATAAGGTTCTAAAAAGCTCGCGTAGTGATAGTAGCTTCTCATCAGTAACAACAACCAAGCTTAGCCTTGAAGCGTGTTGCATTTTGTAGAATTATTCGAATACCTCTTAGGAGTACGAATGTTTTTAAACCCATCAGAACGATCCAAAGGAAATTCCAGATGATATAGGGCGTCCTAAAAGTTGGCAATTTCCGTTAAAAAGCGTATAGGTCAAACAATAATAAGCTAGTTTTCCTAGTATCACATATACCAAATCCTTGAGGTAACCAAGACATGAAGTTCCGAAAAACTCTAAATAACCCATTCCGACCCTGCCGCCCTTCACTTCCTACGTCAAAGGGTATGGTGTTTTGTGGTACTATGATTATGTGAATCAGTATCCAAATCAGGCGCCGCGCGGTGTGTAGGTTTTCCTGGTTTATAAACAAACCGCATTTAAAAACAAAAATTGGCAAATTTCTACAGCAATAACGTAGTTATCGATTTGATCTTGGTTACTATGGGAATCGAACAGCGAAAACTTTAAGCAGTAATTACGAACAAAACATGTAACGTAATTGATTCTGAAAAGGAAAGTCCCACCTTTCAGGACACACTGTATATTGTGTTTGCAACAACAAATATAATAATCGTACATGAAAGACGTTACTTCAATTCAATTTAAGTAATAATAAATGTGAGAATAATTATCAATGAGTTTGCATTTTTATTCTTATAACTTTGGTTTGAAAGAAACATACAAAAGCAACCAATCGATTTGTAGTTGCAGACGAAGCTTCTCCAAAAAGCTTCTGAAGGTGCACTGTTGTCTGATGTAAATCAGCTGAATGTTCTCCAAATCGGAGTGGTGCAACAAAAACTCGATATGAGGTTGACCTTAAACATTCGGATCACCTTTGCGAAGTGGTACATTCGATGAAGACGGTATAACCGGGCATTAATGTCTGTATTTTAGATTTTTATAACCTAGCTGTGTTGTATGTTTTTGTCATTCGGGAAGACTTGTGCAGTTCTCTATGTATGCAGCATGGAGCCTATATACTACTAGTGCTACTTCGACAGGGTTGCCATGTTGGGAGATTTTCTCCCAAATTTTGGCGGATTTCTACTTGGGTAATTTTTGGGGGAAATCACGCGTTTCGCAGATAGAATGCATATCCCCGCTTTTTGAATCAAACCTATCACTTTCCTTTATCTGTGATTTGGAGGATTTTTTTAAGTAGCAATTCCGAGGGATTTTTGCCAAGCGGCTTGTACGGTCGTGGTTCGCGTAAAAGGAGAGATCGGCCATGAAGCTCTGCGAGTAGGAGACTCGCCCAACAGATGGCGCCAACAGTACTATTTGTCGCACTATTATTTATCATTCATAAAAATGAAGTTTTATCAAAAAACAGATACCTGCAGATTCAAGCTGCCGGATTAAGCTGTGGGTTTGTTTTTCTAATTTCACCAGTTCTCCTAGTATAAGGACCCATAATATGCAGACTTTATCTATCTCTCTGTCTATTTGTACTAGGTACAATCCCCTGGAGCGTGAGACGAACGTCTCGTACGAAAACCTGAACATGGACTACATACAAAAATTAGTCAGCGAGGGCTATTCCCGAGATTCGGTGATCAAAGCGTTAGGAATCACTAGGAATAACATTGACATGGCGTGCGATATCCTTCACGAATTCGGCACAAAGCTGGGATAGCAGATAGTAGCAGATGATTAGTTGATAGTAGTGAATGTAGATCACTTTACTTTTGCCATATCAGATACGTTTCTTAAAGGTACCTTCAAATTATTTATTACGGTCCGGTTTTTCAGTTGTCTGTTAACCGCCTTTCAGAAAGTCACAAAATGCTGTTTTCAATGTCAGATTTGTCCGAAAATGGTAGATGACTTAATTAACCTTTTTGCTTGACAGTGACATAAGTTGTCCCAGATGACACGAGCCACAAACATCGAACGTCATAAAACGCACATAACACGATAATTCAGACTTAGAAGCATGGTTGCCCGATCAACGGTTGCGGGTTGGTTAACCAGAGCAGAAAACGAATTTATGGACAACTAATAGTTAACTTGCAAGTTATAGTTACCAAACTTGAAAGTTAACCAGCGACTGTTAAACCGGGCCGTAGTGTACTAGCAGTGCCACTAACTTGACATTACAAGCAAAAAATCTCCGATAAGTAATAGTCATTTGACAGTTTTACTTGGAAAGTTTTGTGCGAGTTTTCAAAACAGGTGATTTTAGAGATTTTTTCGAAATTTCACTTTTTTATTATTAAACTAAAAATGATTTCTTATAATTTTGTTTCACTAAAGCCCGATTTTACTATTGACTCGCGGGATCTAAAATCTCGATCCGGAGCATAATACACGAATGAGAAGGCGTGATTCTATATCAATTGAATATAGTCGATTTCTTCTAAAATATATGTCATTTTTTTATGTATTACCTGGTTTAGCTACAAAAACATATTTTTTCACTTGATCCAGATATCAAAACCTATGACCCGGAGCAACGATGACCAATTAAAAAGCCTTTTTAATTTTCATCGAAAATGGGCCAGTCGGAAACAAGGATCATAAACCCACCATGCAGGTGATAGAACCAAATTCAAAATAAACATAAACACCTGAGAAAATTGAAAAAGGATATATCGGTTGTTAATTAGGTGTAGACTTCAACTAACTCCTTAATTATCTTTCATTACCACATGTTTTTGCTGTTGTATCTAATTCGCATGTTGTCCTTAAATAGAGATGTTTCTGGCTTCCAATTATTTTAAACACCTTTATCTGGTTTAGACGAATGTATACTGCCTTTGCTTTATTTAATTTAGAAAAAATGGTAGAAATCAGATAAATTATACAACAAAAGAAAGGTCTGTGAAATGTAAACTCTTCTTTCTTGTGCTTCTTTGTCGGCTACAGATGGAGTGTGTATGCGAATTCAGATACTGATTCTGAGCCCCTAGCACGACGCCTACGATGCTCTTCGACAACTTCCAGAGTTTGATAGGATGAATCCGTCGCAGAATTATAGTAAAATATCGATTTAAACGCTGCAGAAGGTAGTGGTTCTACTTATGGATTACTTATAATAATCTGACACCTAAAATATCCGGATGAAACACTACCCACTTACTTATTAATAACCACTAACTTAAATAACATTCACCGTAAACTCAAAAACAACTCAGTATCACATTCAAAATAAGCTCCCATTGATCGTAGCGGCACTTGAAATAACTCTTTCTGTAACCAGATATTCTAAATAAGGCACCAAGTATTTCTAGCTATGCCGCATCCAGAAGCAAGATGCAATTTTTCGTACATCGTGAGATCAATAGTTAAGTAACTATCGAATTTGATCATTTATTTCATGCTTGCAACAAGTTAAGATAGTAAGTTCCGGTGTAAATACTGTGTTTATGCAATGATTAACATATTCCTCATGGCGTTGAATCACCCTAATCAGCACTTGTGAAAATTTGCGAACGCACCTCTCAGCCCCATTTCTAGTATTAATTTCCCCCCTGCTCTTGGTAGTTAATACATTTGTAGTGCTGCCAAGCTAATAACAGTAAACATGAATAATATGAATTATCACACAAACGTGTTATTTTAACACAAAGTAGTTGAACCTAATAACATTTATTTTTCAATCCAATTAAAAGAGTCGAAATGGAGTGCAATACGACTGATCTAAGGTTCACTTTATGGATCTATCTACCGATTTCAGCATCACGACTTTTTGTTCAACAATTTGATGTGGTAGCACTGAACAGTTATGTGACTGGACAGCTGAGCTGATGAAAGGCAGTCCTAGTTTCAAATCACTCAAGTATAACAAAGATTCTCCAGTGTTCTTTATTTTCCCTAAGAAACTTACTTACGTTATATCCATACTGAAATTCTTTTATTAAAAATATGATTGCCAATAATTTGCATAGACATCGCGCGCGCACAGAGGATGTGTGCCAAACAGTGGTTCATATATCTACAAATTACAATATTGAACGGCAATTTAATCGACAATCAACGTTGTGTATTTTTAAAAATATGTCCTTTTTTCTAAAATTATCTCTATCCGGTAAGTAATATACTGTTCTTTTCACTAAAGTACTCCGTAGATTTGATCCACGATTCGGGCATGGTGTAAAGGCTCCTATCTGATTGGCCGATTTTCGATGCAGTTTTAGGAAAACGCTTTCTAACTAGTCATTATTGCTCCGGATCATAGGTTTTAATCTCCGGATCAACTGAAAAATATGTTTTTGCAGTTGAATCATGCGTTTTATAAAGAATTTCTAGGTTTAATATGCGGAGTAGAGGCACTTCTTACACAAATCGTATATCTTATCGCTAGTTTGAGAGATATTTTAGAAAAAATTGACTACATTCAGTAGAAGCATTACTAGAAAGATGCAATAGTTCATTATGATCCGGGTCAAGAATGTTTATCTCTTGTTAGTAAAATCGGGCTTAAGCGTAATGAAGTAAGATTTGCAGATTTCATAAAGTATCAAAATTAAATGGGTAATGCTGTGTGGATAGACAAAGGTGCAGAGAACTGAGCACATAAAGCGCACCG